ACCTCTTCAGCTCCATTACACTCTTCGTTCCAGACAAGGAGTGTGTGTGTACTCACCTAATTGTGGTTGCAGAGGCCATGTTATAGCTCCAGGCCTGTCTCTTCACTGTGTGTGTGTGTGTGTGTGTGTGTGTGTGTGCCATAGACACTTGCTGATTGATACTTTTAACTTTCATGCCGAGTATACAAATCGTTTGCTCTCTAAGTTAGCTGTCAACACCCATATGTTTTATAAATAATTGCAACTCCTCTGCACCTCCGAGTAAGTGTAAATAATCACCGTGTGAGAGGTCATGTGTTAATCTTGCAAGAATTTTTCCCTGTGTACAGTCACCTCATAGATGTCGCAATGCAGTAGTAAAGTCGGTTCTTAAGTAAGGTCTTGGCACTCTGGACCTTGTATCACACGCCACTACAAAGTGCGACCGCCTCAGTATTTTACACCAGAGGATGGGCGTATAGACGAGAGACTCCAGCCGATTGTATCAGAGTGCTGCAGCTCACTGACGGAGGAGCCCTTATGCAATTGTGACTAGGTTGGAGTTTTCCTACTTCCGCTTCCGGTCTTGGCCAGGCTTATCTGGTGCTCATCAACCAGACTGTTGCTGTTATCAGCCTTCTGGCCCGCATGGCCTTCAAAGCCTGAAGTACTTATTCAGTTTCCTCATAGATATTTACACCTGTAACAATTGGTATGTTCACGGTTCCTATGACCAAACTTGTTGAACTCATTCCCAGCATCCTGGAATGTCTCAGATAACATCCAAAACCCTCAGTGGTGGAGCTTCGAACGTTCAAAATGATGCCTCCAAATTCATTGATGGCGGAGAGTACTTCTACTGTATCATTTGATGAATTCAGCAGTTCTGCATAACTAAACATGTCTTTAAAATATAGTCCTGTCCCTCCCTTTGACCTATTAACTCAGTCACACTACATATACCGGTATCGTAATTTATTACCGATATACTGTATCGCTGTCCAAAACATCCCTTGAATGTATTTCTGCAAATGTTCCAAATATAATATTTGCTTCTAGTGATGAGTCCACTTTACATGGCTAACTTGTATAATTTTTATTAGTTTTAAAAATCTCAATGTTGGCAAAATAGAGAGGAGGATTTATTACCTCAGATGCGTGGGTTTGGTGTGAGTTTTATAAGCGCCTCTGATACTGTTCAGTCTTGTGATATGGCTACTAAAGTAACATTTTTTATTCTCCCCGAAGTTGTATTTAATGTGTGCCGTTGCATGTTTGGTCTTGGTGTGTGATGAACTGCTTCGCTGTGTCCCATTACCAGGTGTGTCTGTCTTCCCCGTGTTCTCTCACTAGTTTCTTTGTTTCTTCCTTAGATGGAGCCTCTCCATAAATTATTGTTTACTAGGCCTTCGACTTCATGATGCATACGGCACCTGTACTCACCTAGTTGTACTCACCTAGTTGAGGTTGTAGGGGTCGAGTCCAAGCTTCTGGCCCCGCCTCTTCACTGATCGCTACTAGGTCACTCTCCCTGAGCCGTGAGCTTCATCATACCTCTGCTTAAAGCTATGTATGGATCCTGCCTCCACTACATCGCTTCCCAATCTATTCCACTTCCTGACTACTCTGTGGCTGAAGAAATACTTCCTAACATCCCTGTGATTCATCTGTGTCTTCAGCTTCCAACTGTGTCCCCTTGTTACTGTGTCCAATCTCTGGAACATCCTGTCTTTGTCCACCTTGTCAATTCCTCTCAGTATTTTGTATGTCGTTATCATGTCCCCCCTATCTCTCCTGTCCTCCAGTATCGTCAGGTTGATTTCCCTTAACCTCTCCTCGTAGGACATACCTCTTAGCTCTGGGACTAGTCTTGTTGCAAACCTTGGCACTTTCTCTAGTTTCTTCACGTGCTTGGCTAGGTGTGGGTTCCAAACTGGTGCCGCATACTGCAATATGGGCCTAACGTACACGGTGTACAGGGTCCTGAATGATTCCTTATTAAGATGTCGGAATGTTGTTCTGAGGTTTGCTAGGCGCCCGTATGCTGCATATGTATATATAATTTCACAGTCGCTAATTCTCCTGACATAATATCTACACATTCCTTCTTTTCTATCTTTTTCTTTGGCACTTTCAGTCTTGTTTACTACAATGTTTACTGGGATTTCCTGGCTAACTTGCTATGTTTTAGTATTATTTAGCGGGTTTTTCTGGATATCTTGCTGTGTTTCAGTACTGATCATTGGCATCCTTTGTCCTGTGCTAATATTCAGGATGCCCCAAAATTCTTGATCTCTCCCAGATTTTCAGATTTGTTTGCTGGCTGTGATAGTTACTCGTGGACAGGAAACATGGGATTTTCCTTGGCTTGTCCCACAGCAGCTACGTGTTGTGGTGGGCTTAATTACAACTCTCCTCACACACACTGTACGGTCGTTGCTCGTCAGCTCTCTGCTTAAAATTAAGATTTGTGTGTTGGGTGGGTGGGTGTTTGGGGGGTCTCGGGTTGGGAGAAAGAACGATGGGTGGGGAGGGAGAGTGATGGGGGAGAGAGAGTAATGGGAGGAGGGGAAAGTGATGGGTGGGATAGGGATAATGATGGGGGAGGGAGAGTGATGGGTGGTGGAGGGTAACAGGTGGAGGTGGGTGAGTTATGGGTGGGGGAGGGAGACCGATGGAAAACAACTCATCCATTTACGCTTATTCATAATTAACTTATTTTTTCTATTTTGAATACGGTCAGCTGGGTAGGTTTGAGAGTGCTCTGGAAAATGTCACACTGACATTCATTATCAGGGTGTATCTGGCCTCCCCTGTGGTAATGCCTAGTCAGGTTACCACACTTAACTACTACATATAATCTACAACGTAAACATTGTGAATTTATGATCACTTTCTCGAAGTTCTTCATTAATCTCAAGATTATTTATCAGAGATTCCTTGTTTGTTCTGTCAAATTGCCCCAGTCAATTCGCCTTAAGTTAAAAATCTCCCATTAAAACTACATATTCGTCTCTAGTTAATGATCAGCTTTTCCCCACAGAAGTTTACGGTGGTCACTGTCGATGTTTGGGGATCCGTAGCTCACACCCAAGATTAGTTTTTCATGCACTTACTGGCAATCGTAGTCAGATTCCCTGTTTATCCCTTCCATTTTTATTTCGTTTTTAATGCAACACCATAAATTTCCCCTTAACACACATAGCAACTCCGCCCACAGGGATATAAATTATTCCTGTGGAATAATTTATATCCCTGTATGTGGCATTCAGCAGACATGTCCCTATTTTTTAAATTGAAACTGGTCTCGATTATTACAATAATATATCCCCCCCCCCACATGCAATCAGTTTTAGTTCGTCTATTTTATTTCTCGCGTTCCGACTTTTTGAATATTTAGATCCTACGACAGAATTTTTTTCTTTCCTCTCTCTCTCTCTCTCTCTCTCTCTCTCTCTCTCTCTCTCTCTCTCTCTCTCTCTCTTCTCTCTCTCTCTCTTTCCTCTCTCTCTCTCTCTCTCCTGTAGACTCTCTTGTTTATAAGCTGTCCCTATTTTCAGAACATTGTTGCTCCCTCCGTCCCTAGGACTGCAGCCTCCGTCCCTAGGACTGCAGCCTCCGTCCCTAGGACTGCAGCCTCCGTCCCTAAGACTGCAGCCTCCGTCCCTAGGACTGCAGCCTCCGTCCCTAGGACTGCAGCCTCCGTCCCTAAGACTGCAGCCTCCGTCCCTAGGACTGCAGCCTCCGTCCCTAGGACTGCAGCCTCCTTCTATCAGTTTAAAATGTTACTTTACCAACTTCCTGACAAACACGTTAACGAGGTCACATATCCTGGTAAACAAGCTCTGGTTTAACGATGTCGTTATCTAGAAGGGGGCGGTGGGGGGGTCAGCTGTACTGCCATACCAGGTCGCTGCCCAATAAAATTTTTTATCAGTAAGCTCTAGACCCGAAGGTGCTCACACAACTTTCTGGAGAATGATTTTATGAGAAACCTTTAACACAAGCGACACACACACAAAAATGAACCTCCTCGTAACTCCATCATTCAGTACAGACGACCTACTTGCTAACTTGGGACACTGAATGTATCCTACGACCTTTGATGACAGGGAGAGGCGCGGAGCTCCGACTCCATAAATCAAGAGCCCATTTAGAGGGGTCACTACCTAATGGGGAAAATATATTATATAGCAAGGAGAGGGACGACCGAAGTACAAACGTTCAAACAATGCAATAAATAAAGTGAAGAAACAAGGAAGCTTGAGCAGACTTCCAACAGATCAAAGAAAGACAGAGATCAAGACAACACAGCCCAGTAAAACAGAGAGAGACAGTAACAAAGACAGAAGAGACAGTATGGTCAAGAGGAAGATAAATTTTATGTTTTCCCGTCCGTAAATGAGTGTACTCACCAATTTGTGATTGTAGGGGTCGGTTCACAGCTCCTGGCCCCGCCTCGTTGCTGGTCGCTTTGTGTGTGTGTGTGTGTGTGTGTGTGTGTGTGGTGTGTGTGTAGTAGAGAGAGAGAGAGAGAGAGAGAGAGAGAGGAGAGAGAGAGAGAGGAGAGAGAGAGAGAGAGAAGAGTAGAGAGAGTACAGGAGAGGGGCAGAGGATACGAGAGTAAGGAGAGATAGAAGACAAGGATAGGTAGAGAGAGAGAGAGAGAGAGAGAGAAGAGAAAGGTAGCCACAGGTCACGAGGGTCCAGGGGTTATTTACCCAGGTCAGGAGGATCTACACATTACTCATCCAGGTTATAAGGTTCTACAAGTTACTCAACCAGGTCAGGAGGATTTACACGTTACTCACATAGCCCAGGAGGGTCTAAAAGTTACTCACACAGGTCAGGAGGGCCTACAAGTTACTCACATAGGTCAGGAGAGCCTACAAGTTACTCACACAGGCCAGGAGGGTCTAAAAGTTATTCACACAGGTCAGGAGGGTCTACAAGTTACTTACACAGGCCAGGAGGGTCTAAAAGTTATTCACACAGGTCAGGAGGGTCTACAGGTTACTCAC